ATTCCTGCTCCTTTTCCAGCCTCGGCATTTCCTCCGGGTGCTCTTTGTCAGGGTCCAGAGCAGCCTGGGTTGGTGCTGCTGCCACATTTCCTATGGAGCTGCTTTCCCCTCCTTAGAAACAAAACCCAGCTGTGTGAGGGCGGGAACAGCTCCCCTCACACCTGTTAAACTCTCTCACATCCCACAGGGGATCAGGCCCATTGTTTCATTCTTGGGGAAAAGAAAAATGTCTTTCCACTCACCACTGTCTTCACTGAGGGGTTTTCTCCCTAAATTTATCTCTAGGGACACAATATGTTCTAGAATGAGATATATGCATGTGATTTTGAAAATCCAGGATTTGTCAGGCAAATCTTTGCCAGTTTTGCCTGGATTTGGCCCCAAGAAACTGCCCAGCACAGGGCCACTCATGCTGGGCTGGTCCCTGCCCTTCATACGTCAACATTTCTGAGCACTCACGGGGCTGTAGATCTTCTATACACAAAAACTCAGCCTGGCTTTCAGCAGGGCTTCAGAATTTCTGTTTGCTTTCTGTTTAAGTATATTTAAAAAAAAAAAAAAGAAAAAGAAACCAACACACAAACAAAGAGCTTCTCTAGGACTTCACTTACTTGCAAGTCCAGTTGCACTTCCAGGCTGCACTGGCTGCAGGATGGATTCATGTCTCCAGAGATGGAAATCTGCAGGGAGTCAGGCTCCAGCTCTTGGGAGTGACAAGCAAAAACCCCAACCCAAAAGGTGTTTGATGCTTGGCCAACTTACCTGCCTTCTTTTGAAGCTTTATTTTGGTCAGGGCAAGGATAATGATCGTGATGAAAATCAGTAGAACGAGAACTGGTAACACAACTGGGAGGAAGCCTGAGTCACCTGATGAGCTGGAAAGATGAACCATCACAATTGAATTGGATTTGGACTCAGCTGTGAGGTGGCTGAAGTACCTGAACTGGTTTTTACACCAAATAGTTTCAGGGAGTTATAAGCTCTGACTGACTCAAAGGAGAAGAGCCAGGAAAGGCAATTAGAGATGAAATTATTCCATCTGGAATTTGGCTTATGAGAAGTGGTTTCTGCAACTGCCTCTGCTTTACTGTCTGAGGATGATGGTCCCAGAATAATGAGGCCCTCCAGAAGGAAAATGAGCTGTGTTCATGATGCAAACTCCCAAGCAAGGTTCATGCTCTTTCTTTAGGACTTGCTGTAGAGCCTCATGCAGTTGGAGGGTATTTATGTGCTGTCTCCCTGGGAAAATTATATAAGTGCTATCAGAGCTCCACAGGCAGGCAGAGCTTTGCCAGGGATGGTGCAAAATCTGACCCTTTCTACAAGAGCATGATTTCCAGCCTCTTCCTGGCTGGATGGTGGGGAGATACAGGTGGGGATGAAGGGGATGGTGTTTCTGGTGCTGAGGATCATTGGGGTCATTGGGGCAGGTGTGAGCTCTGAGGAGAGTGGAGGGGCAGCTCAGGAGCTCCAACTGAATCTGGGGACTTTGTGGTTTGTCTTCAGTTATGATTGATGCTGCAGAATCTGTCTGGGCACCAGCTCTACAGGTCCCTTCACCCAGCACTGGGTGGTGGCTGTAGCTGGGGTGAAGATGCAGGAGTTGCTCCCAGTCCTCCTGGGTAATGGGGAAGCACAGGAGGTGAGTTCCCCAGGGAAAGCACTGCCATGGGGCTGAGCCACAGGGCTTGCTGTGGAGAAATACCATGGAATAATTACTGGCTAAAAGAGCTCCCAGCCTTTTGATGAACCTTGTCCAAAGATAGCTCCTTATGCAACACAGGGCACCCAAACACTACCCTGGGTGCTGGCTGCCTAGAAGGTCCTGGATAAAGCCTGCAGAGAAGTTTGTAGCAGCTATTGATTCACCAGCCTTATTGCTCAAGCCTGATGTTTCCTAATGTCCTGTCTCCAGAGTGACCAAAGGAAAAGAGAGAGCACATCTACTGACACTGCCATCTGATCTACAGAAGCCACCAGCACCAGATGATTCAGAGACCAGCTCAAAGACAGATCCCACTGATGGGCCTTACCCTCTGTCTTTCTAATTCCTAATGACTCCTGCTGGTGTTTTCAACTTGCAGCCTGTGTAGAGCCCTGGGAAACAGGGCAGACAGGTCATAAACCATCGAGGTGGTGCCAATGAGGAAGGTGGTTGAGAACTTACCTCTCATGATAGATTTCTTCTCCTGGGGAGGTGAGAAAGGTGCTGGGGAGGGCAGGGGGCAGCAGGGGGCTGGTGCTTTCAGTGATGGTGCCTGTCATGGATGTCAGGACCATGGTGCTCCCCTGCCTTGGTGTGCTCTTGGTGGTGGGACTGGATGACAAAGTGGGTTTCACAGGGGTGGATGTCTCTGGGTCTTGTGTAGAGTGGGTTTCTGCAGAGGAAATTATTTTGAGGCTTAAATACTCATCTTTTTGCTGTGAAAACGTGTTAGATTTACCAAAGATTTACTCATTTCACCTTGCATCTCAGTGTGAGAAAGTATGCAGCACAATGAACCAGACTCAAACATTTCTGTTTTCCTTTGAGTGTTACAGAAAGCAGCTAGAGAGCACTAGTGAAAACCAATACTACCTGGCAAACATCCCTGCTTTAACCCCACTATTTCTGTCTTTGCCAGTTGAACAGTGACATTAATCTGTGTGTTTCTAAGATAACCTCCAGCTTCTCTTCAGAGCAAGGCACACATCTCTGTGCTGCACTTGCAGCAGGATCAGGATGTTGTACGAGGGGTTTGCAGCGTGAGTAATAATATCATTCAAACTAACTAACTTTCCTCTGAAAGCTCAGCTTACATTCCTGCCTCTGAAAACCTTTACCATCCCCTCACTTACTTGCCAATAACCATAAGGATAAATAAATAGCTGGTGCTTCTCATGATGTTGTGATATTCATGCATAGTACAAAAGAGGCTGTTCTTTGAGTGGCCCTGAAGGGGCAGAGGAGAGAGTGATTTAGGAAAAGAAAAGGGGTTTATTACACCCCAGGCCACCCCACCACCTACCCTTCTGGATGTGCAGCCTCACAGGGGACGTGTGCTCCGTGTGCCCGTTTTGGGTCCCGCACCAGTACCACCCCTCATCCTCCTCTCTCAGGTGGCTCAGCACCACCGTGTAGGTCCCAGGTTCCTGGGCACTGTTGGGTGGTTGGATTCGCCCTCTGTAGGACTCGTGCACAAACCCCTCCGTGTCCACCAGCAGCTCACAGCTCCCTGCCTTCCACCTGCACAGGTACCTCTTCTGGTAGCTCCTCCCGGGGTCAGAGTGGCACTTCAGGGACACTGAGCCTCCAACTCTGCTGCTGAGATGGTTTGGTCTCTTGGGAAGGGTGGAGGCTGCAGGTGGGAGAGGACAGTGTTGGCCTTTCATTCTCCTCACTCAGGGCTGTGAGGGACCCACGCAGCCCCCAGCACCCTGTCCTACCTGTGGTCACCTGCAGAGCCACCACCCGTGGGCTGTCCCACCCTCTCACTCTTCCCGTCCCACACTGGTACATCCCTGAGTCTTCTTTTTTTAAGTCATTTATCAAGATTTTGAAAGCTCCCGAGCTCTCCTTGGGGGTGATAAAGACTCGTCCTTGGTAACTCTTCCCGATGAAGCCGTTGGTGTCAGCTATGAGAGTGCAGCTGGTTCTCCCCAGTCTGCACCAGAACCCCTCCCCGCTCCCCTGGGTGTCCCCGGGTGGGCACGGGATGGTGACAGAGCCGTGGAGCTGCCCCTGGATGAGCCTGGTGGTGCCCAGCACAGCAGCATCTGCAGGGAGAGAGCACAGCAGGCACTGCCCAGCACGCAGCCCCCAGCCAGGCAGCAGGGTTCCCTTGCACTGCTGTGAGCAGCCCAATTGGCCACATCTGGGTCCATTTATTGTTGTAAAGAGGGTAGAAAAGGTCTTACCTGCCCGAACTGTCAGGTTCAGCCTGACATACAGGTCCCCGTTGGTGCTGCCGATGCCGCAGCAGTAAATCCCTGCGTCGTCCTCCTTCAGCCCTGTCATTGTCACCAGGAAGGTGCCATTCTGGGGGATGTCCTCGAGGGACACTCGCCCCACGTGGTGCTTGGAGGTGTAGCCTGTTGTAGAAATGATGGTGGAGCAGCCTCTGTTTCCTGTGACTCTGCACCAGTATTTTCGGTCGTGTTTGTTGGCTGGTGTGATGGGGTAGAAGCACTGGTGGGTGACTGAGCCTCCCACCTTCCCTGCCAAAAACCTGGATCCATACAAGGTGCTTGAAACTGGCTCTGTTGGAGAAAGAAGGAAAGAAACACGGGTCATTGGCTACTCAGATCCTGGCCTGGCAAAACCCAGCATGGCTCCTTCAAGTCCAGGGTATGATTGTGAGTGGCACCAGTGGGACATCTGGATCAAAAGGTCAGTGTTTGTGCTGGACGTGGGGTGTTTCCTTCCCCGAGTGCCACATTCTCCACCTGAGGAGCAGTGATGGCACAGAGCCACTGCCCCATGCCATGGCAAAAATGGGGAGACCCTAGATGCCCTGAAGTCCCATCAGCCCTGACAGTCCTGCCTGGAGTTAAAAGTCAGGGAGCAGTTAACAGCAAACATCTAGGAGTGACCTTTGGCACGTGCAAACTCTGCCTGATCTGGCAAATCTCTCCTCTCTGCAGTGCTGTGGCACAGGCACCAGCAGCTCCCACAGTGCCAGGCAGCAGAGAGCTGGGATTCCCCATCCTCTGCCAGCTCTCTGCAGGCTGCTGGTGGGCAGTGCAAGTACAGGTATCTAGTGCCCACGTGAGGATTTAGCTTGGGATGTACCCGTGTCCCCAGTCCCAGCTTTGCCTGGCCCAGGCAGTGGAAGAGGCTGGAGAGCTGATTTCTCAGCAACTCACCTTGCAGCAAAATTGCCAAGAGGAAGAGAATCACCATGTCCAGCCTTTGGGAATGTTCTCTTGGCAAACTTCAAAATCTGGTGTTGGATACAGGATTTTGCTGATGTCTGTGCTATTAAACAGAAGAGAATTTGTGGCTGGAATCTGCCGGAGTCAAGCACCCAGACTGCTGGGGTGGCTGTGCAGGGCTGAGCTCTGGTGACCCCACAGCTCCCAGCCCATCCCACGGCTGAGCCCAGAAACAAAGGAAATGTAAAAAATACAAGAGGTGCTAAGAGTGCCCTGCAGCTCCCAGTGCTGCTCTGTACCCTGCGTGTGGGCAGGATGGTGCCTGGAGGTGTTGCTGGTAATGAGAGGTCATTGCAGCTGGAGCCAGGGTGAGGGGGACTGGTGAGGCAGCTGCTGGGGTCAGCTCTGGCACCACAGTGACCCAGGGCTGTGCTGTCACCTCCGGAGAGCCTGCACCTACCAAAGTGTTCCCAGATTGCCTCGGTGGCTGCCAAACCCCAGGCTGGGCAGGAGCAGCAGCCAGGAGACACAGCACTTGGTCCTGTCCCACCACTCAGCCTGCAAGAGGGACCTGAGCATCAGGCTGCTGCTTCTTTTGCTTTCAGCTCAAGAAGCAACAGGAAGTGCTGCAGGTCCCCGGAATGCCAACATCCTGCAACATCTCCGGCATCCTCTCAATTCTCTCTCTTCCTTTTTTTTTGCTATTCTTTCCTGCAGTGTATCTGTGCACAGGTTGCTCTCACCCATCCCCAGCTGGGAGCAGCCCCAGCAGTTGGGTGTCTCAGTCTCTGAGAGGAATGACTTCCTTGTTTGAGTTCCATAATGACTGCTGATAATTGCAGAGCCTTATCTCAAAGATTCTTTCTCTGAGATTTGCCTACCCCCCCTTGCAGGGAAAGCCTCTCTGGGCGTAAATCATGTGATTTATTTCAAACCTGTTTGTGCCTCGGGATCACTCCAGAGCATCGGGGGAGTATGAACAAGGAAATGGCAGGAGCTCAGGGCCACCACCAGCCTTATTCCTGCCCACCACGGTGGGCTGGATGCCCAGGGGAGCTTCCCTCCCTGCACCCCTGGTGCTGCAGAGGAGTGGGAGATGGGCTCAGCCTCACGTGCCCAGTGGTGGGGGTGACCTGTCTCTCCCCCAGATCTGAGCTCCCATCTTGCAAGCTCAGCTCCCCTCCAGCTCTTCCCCCCCCCCCCCCCC